GTCAATAACGGTTACAAGGTCAATTGAGGCTGGGCCTATGGCGAGAAGCGCTTACTGCGCAACTTCTGCTGCAGGCAACCAGTGATGCAATTGAACCCAGGTTTGTGTTTAATAAACCCTACAAAATACAAATAAAACAGAACATAGAGCCAGATGCTACAAATGCAATACGCATATATACAGACGGCTCAAAAACCAAAGAAGGCTCAGGCTCTCCAGATCACTAAGCCTAAGGATTAAGTGGGGAATGGGAAAAAATACCAGCGTGGTCCAAACAGAACTGGCTGGTATCTCAGTCGCCACACAAGAAATAGCCAGGAGAAGAATTTCTGGCAAAAACATAACAATCTGCACTGACAGCAGACCATTAGCTATTAGCTTTGAACAGACAACGTGTAACCTCAGGGCTAGTACTAGAGTGCCACCAAGACTTAGCCAAAGCCTCGGTAGATAATAACATTATCCTGAGGTGGGTTAAAGGGCATGACAGGAGTAAAGGTAATCGCATTGCTGACTCTTTAGCCAAGGAAGCGGCTGGACTAAGAATTTTAGGACCCAGTGGCACCTACGGCCTGATGACTTGGACAATTGCGGAACTAGCCAAATGTTACACCCATGCTCAATCCCTAAAGAGATGGAATGGAATCAAAAGACGCAATCTTGCCTGGATCACCTTGGGCGACCCTGGGAAGCTGGCCCCGAAGAAATATTTGGCGATGACCAGGAAAAATCTACGCTTAACAGTAGGATTTCTGACTGACCAATGTCAACTAAGGAAACACCTCCATAATATGGGGCTAGTGGACACACCTCTATGCAGGATGTGTGAACAGGAAGATGAGACTGTCAGGCATGTCCTGTGCGAGTGCCCGGAGTTATCGTCAATAAGAGAGTGTGAGTTTGGCGAGTCTTGGCCTACATCTGCCGATATAAAGGAGATGTCTCCCAGAGACCTGTCCACCTTCCTGGAAAGAACAGGATGGACGATGACCTAGGAGGACAACTCCTCGGGAGGATGTATAATGGGTCACATGTGGCCTCCCTCCCTACTCTACAGATACAGAGAACGGTTACAAGGTAGATAATATCGATTCTTTCCAAAAAACTACAAAAACAAGTCATGGACCAGGTCCATCCAAATTCAAGAATCGTCCGCTATAGGACATTGTCATATTTTGGGGAAGCCACCGATAGACTCGCCCTTTTTTTTTAAGGAATACTTAGACGTGGCTTACAGAACGAATAATAGTTTGACTAAATTTATCAGAAACAAAGAAGACAGAACTTCAGTTTCGGATAAATGAGGAGTATATAAGTTGACTTGTGGCTTTTGCCCGCAACTTTAGATTGGCCAAACGGGAAGAACTTTTTCTCAAAGAATTAAAGAGCATAGAAGTAGTTTCTTGAATGGAAAGACCAATTCCACATTTGAAAACCATCTTTTAGCAAAAGGACATGAGTTCAATCATGACTATGACGTGTTACGTTTGGATGAGAAGAGTTTGAAACAAACTTTTAGAATGTTTAGAAATGAGTAGATTTGAGAATTCGAGTAATTTACCAAATGACCAAATATAATTGAATAACTCCCCGTTAATGAATATTTTTTCAAATGTGAAAACTGCTACGTATGCTGAGGCCATTTTATTCATTATAGGGTTATTCAAATGAGGTTGTAGACTTTCTGTTCTTTTCTTATATTGAGCTTTATTGATTTATTCCTAAACTCGGGTACACTTTTAACATCAATTGACCAAGTAAAACTCGGGTACTTTAAATTTAGGTACTTCAAATTGTTAAAACATATATAAAGCATTGAATATGTAGATATTAAGGCGTTTTCTGGAGCTAATGTATTCAAAACGTATTCGTCTGTGACGTCACATCAACTATGATTTGAAACGTATTCATGATTCAAAACTAGCCTGAGGTTGTTTTTGAAACGGAACTTGACTTGACGTTACGTTACGTCAGTTTCAGTTTTGTTTTGACCGTTATAGTTTATGAAGTGCTGAAAACTTTTTATCAAGTACGTTGTAAGGATGTAAAAAATAAAGCTGGGAAATTATTACTTGCACAAATCCGATTATGGAGAAAATTGAAGGGTTTGTTTTTATTATGGAATTTGACATCTGAGACAAACTGAATCATTCCATTCCGGCGAGTCTTATTTTTAAAGACGTCGTTACGAATCGTTTTTGAATACACGCTCGAATACGATTAAACCCCAAAAAACACCTTTAGTCGGTAAAGACACGCCTGAAAAAGTTATTGTACAGCGTTGCGTTTTTGTAGAAGGCCTCTCGTCCACTGGAAGCGGAAAGCTGCCAACAGCCAATGTTGTCAACTAGATGAACTATAAAGTCGCTACACATAAACCAAAATTCCGCTATGCTTGCATATCTAACGCAATCAGTTAGCGCATGCGCCCTATCCAAAATTAAATACCACAGAACTTACAGTTTGTAGTTTGTGTACCGTTTAGATAACAAAAAACGAAACGGCAACAAAGGCAACAAATAAGAACCCGCCAAATTTCAAACCCCCAAACCAAGAAAAGGGAACCAAATTTCCGAAATTAAAACAAGTAAAGCCAAACCAACCCTTCAAAGTGGAAACAAAAAAACAAAGGTGAAAAAAAAGTTGGTAACCAAAACTTTGGAATTTTTTTTGAACATGTCCAATTCCCATCAATTACAACTGCGGTAGCTCTTTCGCTCGAGCTTCAATCAGATGAACTATTTTCCATTTGCACTGTAATTTGTTACATATCATTTATAATACTCGACAGAGTCGAGTCTTTTAGTTTCAAGATATTGAAGGTTATATGGTTTATGATATGAATGACAATATCCAAAAATATTCTTCTTCTCTTTCATCGTGTAATGGCCTCAGCTACCAAGACTATAACGTATTGAATGTGCATACAATTATTCAAATGTCATCTGTCAGCTTCGAGTGCGGTACACTGTCTCTTCTTCTTCTTCCATATTTTTTCAATATTGATTATTTGTTGAAAATTACGCTACTTTATGTTCAAATCCGCTACGCCGCTACCGTCGAGAAAATCCGCTCCGATTGGCAACTAACAAGCACGAATTCGTGCTAACGACGTTATACGAAATCGTGCGTTGTCCATAGCCTATTCCTCAGTATTCGTCCGGATTCGTAGTAGGTGAGATTGTTCTTTGGAACTGATTTTTTAATTATTCTGATGAAGAATTTTTCGCTTTGGAATTATCATTTTTGACTCATCGTCGTATCACGCACAGGCGATATCGAAGAAGGCGGAAAATGTGGGTGAATCCCATTTACGCCAAAAGAAAGGACTTCGATGAATTCTCTAATTTGTGGCATGACCTTCAAATCGACGATGACCACCACTTTTCTCATATTCGAATGACAAAAGACACATTTCAATGCATTATTGTAACTATTTTTGCACTAGATCGCAATCAAATCCCAGCAGAACGGGATCGGTTCGCAATTCGTACCTAGTCGGACGAAAACTGACGAACGATACGGGCCAAGTTGGCGCGGTCCCCCACCGATCCATGTGTTTGGATCATTCGTACGTTGTCGTACTATTTCTGACGAATTGATTTCGCAACTTATCGCAGCTTTCTGCTCCCAGTGGACGAGACGCCGAACTGTTAAGTGAAAATCTCACAAAAGTGTTTCTTTGATTATTTCAAATGATATCAAATTTAGCGAAAACAGTGGCGTACAATGGTTTTTACCATAAATATCAATCAAGTAACTCTGTGCAAATCTAAGTTCATGAAAAGAAGTTCCCTGTTACTCAAGACAAACACAAGTAATGAGTGATTTTTAAAAAGATATAGGATTTGATTTTCAAAACAACACAAAACATTTGAAAAAAACCAGAAATGAGCCTTGTCGCTGAACACAATTTTTCGATAAAAATGTGGATCTTTGCCAGCGCCCATTCACCAAATGTTACACGTTGTGGGAGGTCGTGTGGCTTCAATTCTTGTACCAGCTGTATCTTATAAGGTTTTACACCCAAATCGTTTCGCAAAATTTTCCACGTAGTGTAGTAAAAGAGGCCCAATTACTGCGAACGGCGGCGAATCGACCTTTCACGGTCATCACGAACACTGGCGGATACAGCTGCAATATTTTCTTCGGTCCTCACTGTACGTATGCGTGTTGGTGGTTTAATGTCCAATAAAGTAAACTGGGTTCGAAATTTAGTCACAAGCTTCCGAATAGCTCCCTCAGTAGACCGACGAAACTGCCCATAAATTGGAAGAAGTGCACGATGCACATTCTTCACCGAGCATAAATTTTGATAATAAAATTCAATAATTTGCAAGCGTTGTTCATTCATAAGTCGATTCATGGTTAATTAAATTACAGACCAAACTTATGAACAAGTTTGACAATGACACAAGACACGATTCACGCGTGATCTGTCAAAAACAGTGTTGCCAAAGAGATACCAGTAAAAAAACCAATCATTAGTTTAATCAAAATTGAGGAAAATGATTGTGTTATTAATAAAAGAACAATATTTTTAGTAAAACGGTTACACCCCGTTACTCTGAAACGAAGCAAGTTAGTACACACGTTCATAAGAACTTTTTTTCATAATTACAATTAATAACAATTTGAGATATACCCTGTGTATTCAATTTGTTTACGCTAATTTCAGCAATAACACTCTCATTTTATATACTCGTATATCGACTTGCATGATTTCAAAACATCGCGAATGTATATTGCCCAATGCATTTTGTTCCACCTTTCTTGTTCATGCTTTCTGCACATGATGACCAAGCACTTATCTAATTACTGTTTTCTTTTATTGCCGCCCGACGCAGGAGCCAGAAAAGGTAATTCTCTTGTAACTTAATACAGATCATTTCATTGAATTGAAGCAGGATATGAAAGCAACGCATCCGAATGAATTAGGATATCAGACAGACAACAGCATCCTGTCCAGTTTTTTTTGTTGTGCAACTATTTTTGATAAGATGCTGATAAGTTGGGATGTTCTGGAATGGGTGGTTGAACTAGTACAAGAGTTGTACAGGATGTTTCTAGTTACAGGGAATACGGTGGTTTTATATAGGGGTTTAAATAATGACTTAAGTAAGGCACACATATCAAAATACAAGGTGGCCCAGGTCTTTGAAAAACGGGTAGTGATATTTTGATTCACTTTTAAGAAATTACTATTATCTAAACGAATTACATATTTGAAACTTAGAATTAGAGTCATACATGGATGGTTTGGATTCTTTAAATAAATATGACACCTAATGAAAGGTGATTTCATTCGACAATACAAAATTACAATTGTTTGAAATACTAGAATTCTACTTGAATAACACTTCAATCGACTGTGACAAATATTTCACTGGACGCCTTTCTGTTCATAAATAAAAAATAGAAAAGGAAAATGTATTCTAAGTGTACTATGACGATGTAATAAAAAAATATTCAATAAAAAGTTTCGTGTCAACATGACCACCATCAACTTTTTTTTTCAATACGAACCTGTCTTTTTCATTACAGATATTGATGAAGCAATAAATTCACAATTGATAATGCTATAGCGTTTCATTTGAAATAACCACCATCATCGATGACAACAATTTTAAATTACGGTCCTGAGGTTACTTCTTTTGTAAATTGTTTCGATTTCATCAAAATATAATTCAGACAACCCAATAAATTCAACAGGTAGGTATCCTAATTTCGTTTTGGAAATGTTTATATTGCCGTAATCCTTTTAATACTTCCTAATCAATTATAATTCGTAATCTTTTTAATATTGTTATAATTCTCAATCCTGGAAGTAACGAAAATATCAGTTTTTGGTCAAAATTCGATTGTTGTAGGTATAATTTGATATGATCAAATAGCATCTTAATTCATATACCACCTTAAACGTGTTGGCGTTGCTTGGTTTCTATGGCTTGTTGATATCTGTTGAGAACTGTCAGACGTTTATGAACATATATTAAACAAATATCAAATGTGATATACTCTTGGATTGTGAATTTATCGCTTTATCAATATCTGTAATAAAAAAGACAGGTCCGTATTAAAAAGAAAGTTGATGGTGGACATGTTTTCAGGAAACGTTTTATCGAATATTTATTATTACATCGTCATAGTATACTTCGAATACATTTTCCTTTTCTATTTTTTATATTCTCCGAAATAACAATTCCATTCGAAAAAAAATGAAAAACAGCATTTTGGTTTTCCCCGTATAACTTAAGAAGGGCAAGAGTTCCTGTGTGTTTAGTGATTAGTTTTAAGTATCTATTGATTCATTGAATATTACTTGCTCCCAACAACAAACCGTTATTTTTAACACCTCGACACGTGTTTTTTTATATTCTCCGAAATAACAATTCCATTCGAAAAAAATGAAAAACAGCATTTTGGTTTTCCCCGTATAACTCAAGAAGGGCAAGAGTTCCTGTGTGTTTAGTGATTAGTTTTAAGTATCTATTTATTCAATGAATATTACTAGATCCCAACAACAAACCTTTATTTTTAACACCTCGACACGTGTTTCGATCACCAAGTAATCATCTTCAAGAGGAAGATTAAACTACATTTTTTTGAAGCAATGTAATGAATAATATATTTCCAATTCTTTGAGATGTTGAGAACCCTTGTTTTTTTTCGGTAATTCAGATTTATTGATTTGAACTTTGCTTTTCATTCGGCTTGGAATGTAAAAATCTACATGCTACCAAGATTGACTAGAATAAATACAGATTCAGATTATTATCATGAAAGATACGGTTCGAACTACGAAAACAACAACTATTTTACAAGTCTCTCACGATATCCTAATTCGTCATTCATATCGACAATTTTTCATGATATCTCATTTCATCAACTATATGAACATTTTTTCCTGCAAAGAGAGCAGGAAGCGAGATATCCTGCAAGCAACTCATTTTGCACGCCTTCGGCAGCATCCGTGCTAGATCTAATAGACTTTTTCATTATTTTTATTCTTTCAGGAATTTAGAAATAGTCCAGTAGCTGTCTCGATATCCTCACAGTTAGACCATGGACATGTTAATCCCATTGCTAACGGAGAATTCACAATATTTACCCCGCTGTCGCCACCACATTTCAATAATAACATTTTTCTTGCAACCGATCAGATAAAAGTAAGCCCAGTAAGAATATTTTCGGTTATACGAGGTACGGCTAGAAAATAATGGAACTGATTTTCTGTGAGACAACTGGTGCGAGCCTCAAGGTCAAACGCTATATTGACGAGTCGTCTGACATCCCCCCTCCACATTCCAGCCGGTTGGACGTCACTAGCTTACTCAGTTGGGTCACAGCCTTCGTTCATGTCAGTCGATGTACCTTCCATTCGTCAGATAAATTTTGTTTTAATTGAGCAGCATATCAAAATGACATTTTTAATGGTGAATCCGCAACTGAGACCCATACTCTCCTACAATTTGTGAATGAATTATGTCACATACACGTGTTTAAAGTGTTATAAACATTCCAAAGAAGGGAGAGGAGACATAGAAGATGATCCACGCCCATGACATTTTTTCGACATCAATGAAATTATATAAAAATTTCATAATTGTATTAATTTTGATTGTTTTTTTAATATTTTTTCATTTAAATAATTTGAGATACTAATAGGATAAGCGCAAAAGCCCTTGATTTTTTGATACTTACTCCATCTCTACTGCCAACAAGAATATGTTGAAATTTCTATTAAAATTATGAAATCAGTACTATTTTAAAATGACCAATATTCAACAGGTTAACAAGCAGTCAACATATAAGGTGAGTCATTAAAATTTTCTGATGTTCGGTCCTTTGGCCGTACCTCTATTTTCTGTAAACAGGACTTTTTTAGGGCTCCGAAAATTTCGTGGATTAATAATAATAATAATATCGCCTTTATTATATTCAAATGCATTGGTATATGTTATTGTTATATGAAGATAAAAGATGGAGTTCAATTTGCATGATGACAAGTCATCATCATTCATCATTCAATTGCTGTTCCACTTAACCTCAAAAATGTCGCCTAGTACGCAAAGGAATAAGCAAAAAAGGAAAAATTATCTTAAAATACTTTGACTATTTGTAGATTTGTAATAGGTGGGTAGCTATTGTGTCATTAATAGTTTGAAGATAGTAAGACTTGTTTGAAATGGGTATTAATATGGTTGAAGTCATCTCGTTTCATGGGTTTGGGAATGTCATTATAAATTGCACAGATCTCGTAGCTGACTGAAACTCCTTCTAAAGAACTCTGTGCGAAAGGGTGGCGGTTTAATTTAATACAAAACTATTTGCAACCCACTAATCATCTATTAAATCCCTCTAATCAGTTATAAAAAAAACGAGTTTTAGGAAGAACCCAGAAAAACAATTATAATTATTTATATCACAAAAATGATTTATTTCAGTTAGCGGGTTTGCTCAGGTAATTTTTCTCATTTGAATCAATTTTAGAAGAAGAATATAACTTTGAGAAAATCGATAAAGACCCACCCAACTTTATAAAAATTGCTTCTCCATCATTATACCAAAACTGAGAAGGTTAGGTCCAAAGTGAGTGGGTCTATTCGATCCTCCACTGCAACCCGCAAGGATTTATTGTGGCTCACACCTAACCTATTCACACTCTACCAAATAAACCCAGCTTCTTAACGAAGCCGTTTCGTTTGTATGGTGAGTGGTCTTTCAGGTCAGATGGTAAGAGTACGGCTCTGCTGAACTCAAAAAATCTGATTCGGTCCTCAGCGGGGCAGGCGCAAAGTATAAAGTGAAGGTGCAAGATTCCCACCTTGATACCCGCGACAAACTTCCCATATGAGGGTTTTTGCACGTCAGCTACACCTGACAATGCCTTAGATTCACCCGTGCAGGGCTCATGGGGGGTTTGTTCCTCCACCTGAGACAGATTCTGCGTACGCCACTCAAGAATTTGGTGCAAGACGGTTTCATAAGGTACCCCACTCTTAAGGAGACGACTCAGTCATTTCCTGCGCTGTACCACCACACCTTTTTTTTAAGGTTCAGTTATTGGATCAGGAGTTGAAGAGTTGAGAAGCTCTTGCTCCTGATCTAAATTTACATGCTCGACATCCATCTCTGTAGACTCGCTCCTGTCCCAAATTTACAGGGAGGTCAGTTGGAGTCACAAACTTGACATCCATCTCCTCTATAGACTCAGTGTCAGAAAAAATTTTTAAGTTTACTCTGTCCATAAAAGTCCCACGAGTAGCTAGAGAACGAAGGTCAATCACGACAGAGCCCCGCTTTACAAGGCAATGCTACGAGGAGAGGGCGCCGATATCTCTAAGGTTCCGTAGAGACAGCTGATAGGCTCAGTGTCATTCATCCTCTTGGCACGGATACACACACCATCATTGGGATGCCATTCAGTTAGGGAATAACAGAACCACAAGTAATTCTGTCATTCCCGTATGTAGCGGGGCTACGTGGAAACAGGCAACCGATGGCCGGTTTGCTCAACCCCCACATCCCAAGCCAATGCACTCGCCAAAAAAAACATGCACAGTGGTTCAGGCAGTGAAAGATGAACAAGGACAGTCAACCCGTCAAAACTGAGAAACTGATTAACTTCATTGAACACTTTTTATAAAGATGTGGATCATGCACAGACATTTATTTCTGGAAAAAACCCATCCGAGGAAACTATTTTCAAAAATGAATATCAATAATTTCCTCTGTTTAAAATATAAACGGAAGAATTACATCCTCAACGCGAAATAAAAAACAATCATAAAATAGAAAACGGTTTGCTCAACCCCCACATCCCAAGCCAATGCACTCGCCAAAAACAGCATGCACAGTGGTTCAGGCAGTGAAAGATGAACAAGGACAGTCAACCCGTCAAAACTGAGAAACTAGTTAACTTCATTAAACACTTTTTATAAAGATGTGGATCATGCACAGACATTTATTTCTGGAAAAAACCCATCCGAGGAAACTATTTTCAAAAATGAATATTGAATTGCATGGAGAGCACTTTTTTCTATTCAATTTGTACTCCAAAGAGCCATAATGAAATTGAAATGGATGTCGTCTGTTGAAACGCTACACAAATTTACTTAATGTTTCGAGCCGTATCAGCACCTTTTTAATACCTGTGATGAAGCATTTATTTCTTACATGTCATTAGAACTCGTAAGTTTAGTTAATTTGAACCCAGCCGTAGAAATTCCGTTAAAATTGATGAGGCAATATATGTTTAGCAGAGATTAGTTTTTGTAAATAAGTTATCTCGAGAATCAGAAATCAGTCGTAAAAATGTTTTCAGTATCCTTCATGAGTATAAATTTCATCCATATCCATCCAGTTTTGTGAAAGTCTCACTAAACGGATCAACTTGCATCAGAATTTCTTGTATAAAATATGTTTTTCGGATGAATCTACCTTAGTTTGAATGGAGAGGTGAATCGGCAAAATTGTCGATATTGGAGTGATACAAATCCTCATTTATACCGTCAAATTCATACCGAACGACCTCAAAAACTGAATGTATGGACAGGAATTTTAGGTGACCACATCATAGCACCTTTTTTTATCGATGATAATTTGACTAGTGATAAATATTAGGATATGTTGGAGAATCGAATAATACCGTACATCAATAGGACAACTGAGGAGGATATACATTTATTCAAAAACGAAATAGTTTTTTCAGTAGGGTGGTGCACCTCCTCATTATGCAGCTCTAGTGCGGCAATTTTTGGATGATCATTTTCCTGGTCGCTGTATTGNTTTTCTGACGACAGCCTACAGAATGGCCACCAAGGTCTCCGGATCTCACTCCGGTAGATTTCTTTCCATGGAGTCATTTGAAGTCTAAAGTGTATGAGATAGAATCAACATTAGAAGATTTGATAGAGAATATCATGAGGCATTGCAGAGAAATAACTCCCGAGATTCCCAACTATGTGAGAGCGGCAATGGAAGCTCGTTTCTGCCATTGTATGGAAATTGGTGGAAACATTTTTGAGCATTTACTATAGAAAATATTTTTCTTCTCATTATCCAGTCATCAGATTTTGATTCAAGAATTAATAAAACATATATTTTTCTGATTTATTGCTTCCATATTTGTCTCTAGAACGAATATTTCAAAATGTGGCCTCCTGTATAACTGTTGACCTGTTTTTTTATTTTTCCTGCCAATCATTGTTTCAAAAGTTATTCAGGGTGGCTCATTTTCTACTCAAATAATTTGTAGCTCCCGAACCATAAGCTTCATAAGTTCGTCAATATAGTGCCACAGCGTCCACACAAAGTACCTCGTTTTTCGAACAAAAAAAATGGACGAAATTCATGATGAATGCATATACATACAAAAACTTTTTTCCTGGCACTGGAATGAAAACAATCCGAATATAAATTGATTCTTTAAGAAAAAAGTAGTTTATGTGGCCTCATCTGAAATAAATGTTAACCTAGGCATATGTTATTTATTAAATAAAATGAAATATGATACCGATCATCTCTTTATCTATAAATACCAGATATTTAAAAAAAATATGTCCCTGTATCAAGTATAAACACTTGCTTGGCAGTTCTCTCTCTCTCTCTCTAGGGTTTCTTGGCCTTTGCTTCCGTACGGCGCATTTTTATCAACGCACGTTTCCCATAGAGAGAGGACAAGTTTTAACACCCTGTTGTGGTAACCCTATTTAATTTTTTGTAGTTTTTACCTCTTATTTAAGGATATAATGTTTATATTACATTTCATTCGCACATTTCATCGAGATATGCAAATCTGTCCCTTGTGGGTTTTGTTTGGCAAAATTGAAACTTGTGCTGTAGAAAAAGGACTAACAACATACATAATATTTTGCTTTGTTCGCATGTGCCTTCAACCTGTCATTAATCTAGAGATCTAGAGCATAAAAGTGGCATTATATACGAGGATCAGATTTGAATATATTGTAAATGTCTTTCTTCATTTATAGATTTATTAATTATTTTATTTTTTCAGCACACTCGAACACTGGAAAGCGATAGTGAAGATGGTTTGATAAATTCATGGTTCAGTAAGTGTTTTCAATATAAAGACTTTTTAACATATTGACATTATATGTATGAACAGTGTCATCATTGCTAGTTTTGAACTACACTGCAATTTCAAAGAGCTATTTTGCAATTAGCATTGAAGATATTGAAAAAATTATTAAGTCACATTTTCTTCCTGAATACAGTGCATTTCTTTAATGCCACCCCCCTTTTATTTTTTGAACGGGTCAACTCAAAAAATTGAAATTTGGGATAATGAAATTAATGCAGGAATACTTTATTTTGAAGTGAAATTGTACTTATGCACCGTTTGGAACCTTTGGTGTAGTAATGAATATTACTGGAGTTCTTTCTCAACAGCAATTCGTTATTTTTAACACCTTGACACGTGTTTCGGATCACCAAGTGATCATCTTCAAGAGGAAGATTGAACTAGAAACTAACGCGAAGCTAACGCTATTTATGCTATATAGATTTTCCCTACAGGTAAACCCTACAGGTGTACCAACTATACAGGTATACCACTTTAAATTAATTTCACAATATTGTCCATCTAAATTTATTTTTGCAATGTGTCCTTATGTAGTAATCAGTAAACCCAACGATATTATTTTAACAAGCTATATAGTATGCTATTTGGTATAGGTCCGTCATCGTTATTCATAATATTATTGTGTTTACTTATTTCCAAACTTTCATAGACATCTAGTTGCCTGTTGTTGTAAACTTGTCTAACTAATCCTAATGAACTGAAGTCTATGGAATGTTTTTGTTGCAAAATATGATGGGTGACTGCTGATTTTTCAGGTCTTCCATATTTTAAGTGTGCTATGTGTTCCTTATATCTTACTTTAATAGTTCTTTTTGTCTGTCCATAATATTTTGCATCGCAGTCCTTACATTCAATTTCGTAAATTCCAGACTTTTCCGAATTCTCGACTTTGTCTTTTGAACTTCCCAGCAGGCTCTGTAGTATATGACGTGTTTTAAAAACTACCTTCATACCCAGTTCCTTGAAAATCTTTCCAAAGTTCTTCGTATATTGGTGGAAAGATTTTCAAGGAACTGGGTATGAAGGTGGTTTTTAAAACAAGTCATACACTACAGAGCCTTTTGGGAAGTCCAAAAGACAAAGTCGAGAATTCGGAAAAGTCTAGAATTTTCGAAATTGAATGTAAGGACTGCGATGCAAAATATTACGGACAGACAAAAAGATCTATTGAAGTAAGATATAAGGAACAAAATTAAATATAATTATGAACTGAGCCACATTTGGTAATTGTGTTGGCATTCTAATCAACCCATGAAGGCATTAACCAATTATACATTACATAGGCATATAAACAGCCTATCCGATATTTCACGCCGAACATTTTCGAACACAGTAACGTCAATATCTCTAGAAATATTTATTATTCTCTGCCGTATATCCAGTATTGAAGGAGGTTCAGTTTCGTACACCTTTTGCTTCAAATAGCCCCATAAAAGAAGTCCAAAGGTTGTTAAATATGGTAAGCGGGCTGGCCATTCTGTGGAACCTCGACGGCCCAACGACCGGGGAAAGTAGTATCCAATATCGAATTAATTAGGATCCGCTTCGACTATTTCAGTGATGAGAGAGTCAACAGTAGTTTCCAGCATATTCAAATACAGTTCTGTTAAATTTTGGTCAATAAATAGAGGTCCTACAATATGGTTTCCCGATATTCCTGCCCAAACGTTAATTTTTTCTGGATATTGGGTATGTGTTTTTAATTTTGTATGGATGATACCTATTCCTCTTCAAAAGTCTCCACACAGTAGAAGGAGACACTTCGCAAACATTCGCGACGGAGTGAGTAGACTGTTCAGGATTTACTACCATCTCACTAATTATTTGCACTTGCTGTTCTTCAGGAATGTACGGATGACCTGGGGGCTTTTTGCTATGTAGGTACACTAACAGTAGTAGTGAATTTGGATACAAGTTCCCTCAAATATTTTCTACAGATAGGACGATACGGAAAACGTTCATTGAAAATCCTTTAGGTCTCGTGAAAGTTACGCGTCGCACCGTATATACAAATTGCTTCAATTTTTTCTCCCAATGGACGGAAATTGACCATTTTAGAGATTGCTGACGTGGTACTTTTCTACTAGTAAAACCGAAACCTAATTGAGAATATTCTAACTGAACAATGATGTTCGTTGTCGTACTGACTTTTATTGTCGTAATCTACTTTTTTTTTTAATATTTGTGTTGGCACTGTCTCAAAAACAATTACTGTTGTAATTTTTCAATATCAACCAGGAAACATCTTTTCATTGTAACATTTCATGTTTCAGGTTCATCAGAGAAGGACTTTCCGAGAATAAAATTGAAGTATATCAGGGAACTTGGAAAGGGTTGGTTTGGAAAGGTGAATATTCAAGAATGAAATCAAATCTGTGTGAAGTTTTTCAATGGAAATACTTTGTAGGTTGTAGAAGGTGCAGCCCAAGACGTAAATAATGAGAGTAATGCATGGACGCCCGTTGTAGTTAGGATATTAGATGCAAGTTCTAGTCAGAAGGAAAAAATATTATTTTTACAAGATGCAGCAATTTATAAATGCGGTAGTCATGGAAATATTTTGAAATTGATCGGAAGATGTCTAGATACAGTTCCGTATTTGTTGCTGCAGGAATACTGCCCCCAGGTAATGACCAACTTTACAGTAATACGAGGGTTGCCTTTTATATTTCGGGATTAGAGAACAAAAACAAATATTAAATTATCGAAAATAACTTTGTTTTTCAAAATATTCCCCATGAAGATTTATACACTTTTGCATGCGTTTGAACCAATTGTCGAAGCACTTTTGCCACTCTGATTGAGGTATCTCCAAAACATGCATTCTTAATGTAGCAACCGCTTCTTCAGGTGTCGAAAAACGTTGACCTCTCAGTTTCTTTTTTACGTGAGGGAATAAATAGAAGTCATTCGGTGCCAAGTCAGGACTATACGGCGAATGACTCATCAAATCGATGTTTTGGGTGCTCAAAAATGCAATTGTTTGAGCCGATGTGTGAGAGCTCGCATTGTCGTGGTGAAGAGTGATCCGTCTTCGGCGGTTGATTTTCCTGATTTCTTGAAAGACAACTGGCAAACAAATGGTTGTGTGCCACTCAGAATTGACTATTCTGCCTTGTTCTAGTGGTACAGTTGCGATATGTCCAGTTTTTCGGAAAAAACAGGCAACCATTTGCTTGGAAGTGCTTTGTGCGCGAACAACTGTTGGATTTGGCTCGTTTTGAAACACCCATACAGTCGACTGCTGTTTACTTTCGGGCTCCTATGCGTAAATCTACGATTCATCACCTGTCACGATTTCATAGACGTGTTTCGAAGCACCGCGATCGTATTTTTTGAGCATTTCTTTCGACCAATCGACACGTGACTTTTTTTCAGCGATTGACAAGTTTTTTGACAGCCAAATGTTTATGCAATATTGAATGTATGCTGGTCTCACTAATGCCTAAGGTTGTCTCAATCTCATGATAGGTTACATGACGATCTTGCAATATCAGTTCGCGCACAGCATCAATGGTTTTCTGAACAACAACTGATTTTGGACGACCTTCACGAAATTTTTCTTTGAATGAACTACGACCACGATTGAATTCACCATACCATCGATAAACACTGGTCCTTGATGGAGTTTCATCGCCAAAAATTGAATTAAGTTCATCCATGCACTGTTGCTGAGTTATTCTACGTCGAAAGTTGTAAAAAGTAATCGCAAGAAAATGTTCACGATCTAATTCCATTTTTGGGCCAATATGAATCTTTTGAGTTACTGTAATACAACATAAATAGCGCGCTTATGTCAAAACGTTCTGGTCAACTTTACGATAGAGCTGTTAGTTGCCAGATTGCCAAATCCTGAAACATAAAAGACAAGATCGTAATGTAGATTTTGGACTTGTCGAACACTGCTTCGAATGAGTCAAACCTATTTTTCGGGTTTATAGGGCTTGGTATGTAGGTTGTTATGCCTGACGTTTCACTGGTGGGCGTGGTTTTCTTCAGAAGCCATAACATGGGTATTCCTTTACTGCTATTTTATCGATATACCCCAGACAAGAAAATGTCTCTAGTGTTCAAAGAACAAGGACTTACACTTCATTTTGTGGCTCCAATGTAAACGAATCCACAGCTACAAGGAATCTAGTACACCCACGATATTGCTAAAGGCCCTCTGAGGTCTTTAGCTGACCTTGGAGTGTCTCTGTGATGGTTTTCTTTTGCCTGAATATCGATTTCATGATGTCTTTATCTGATATTTCACGAATCTGGTCCGCAACATTTTTAACATAAAGCAGGAAAGTTTTTCCATAGACAGTCCTATCTGGCGTTATATTGGCATTCTTTTATCTTGGTCGTATTACCAGTCCAGCTACACTATACCTATCGCCTTTGAAAACATTTTTCAGATGATACTGTCTAATGCAATTGTAGACAAAGCATTGGGCATGACGACCCGGAGAAGCCCATAAACCTGGAAAATAGCCCTGTCACAGTTATCTCAGGGCTGTGAAAGCTCTTCAGATGTTGATTGCTCAAGAGATTTGGTTTTTATCAAGAATTAATCAATCATGATTTTAATCAGAAGATTCTCGCTAATTCAATATTTGTTGAAATACATTTTCAAAAATATCTTTGTATAGAGGTGATTTTTGAATTTGATTACTTATTTCCTTTCTTCGGAAAATTCCCACATTTTTTGTATTAAGATGATGAAGTAGAAGGCCAAAAATTTCCTTTTCCAAAAAAAATCTCTCCTAAAAATATACCCTTTCAACTTAAACGAAAGAAATTATGATGTATGGAATTTCAAAACTAGGCAATATAATTTCCTTCACCATTCAATTATTATTTTTAGGGTGATCTGAAAGGATATTTAAGATCCAGAAAGCCCCATGCCGAGAGTTTTTTGACGTCCGATTATCCTTTGCTTTGGTGTTGTCAGATAACTTCAGCTCTCAAACATCTTCATGACAACAACATTTCACACCCGTAAGTAAATTTGAATTTGTTCTTTATTGTTTACAGTATAATAATGTATCTAGTCTATTCTTCAGTATAATTACAAAAAATATGGTGGATCAAAGTGTGAGAGCTAGTTTGAATATCAATTTATTGCTTTCTCAAACTATTTGTGTCAACCGCACTGAAAAAAAAAGTAAAATTATACTCCGATTAGTTCTTTCACATGTCAACTACTCAGACGTGTTGTATGGTCCAGGAACATTGAAGAGTGACAGTTTTAGAATCCAAAAGCTCCATAATGTATGCAGGCATATTACAACTACAAGGAAACGAGAACATATTTCACATCTGTTTGTGAATGTGAGTTGGTTGAATGTGGACTCTTGATGAATATTTCATTCTGCAACATTTTTTCAAAAACTGCTTAAAACAAACGTATAATCTTTTCGAAAAAATATCCTTTCATTAAGGACACATTTAACAATACCACAACGGATGTTTCACTTACCATATGGACTACTCATATAAATTGGATGCCTATCGAATATAAACCTTCGCCAATAGGAAGCTTCAAACTAAGAGTGAAAAAATGTCTGCTTTCAATAAATAGATCCTACTAATAGAATTATGTCAAAATCAATCAACCGTTCTCCAAGCTCCAAAAAAATGTTTATTACAATTTCGCTGTATATACTGTTCTTGATAACATACTGCTTTTTTTTTTCTTTTGTTCTTACGGTTGGATGGAAGAGCAATCTATGCGATGATTTATCATACGCAGATATTGAATCCTGCCATTTGATGGGTTGTAATTGTATGGAACCATGTATAAAGGCCATTATTATTATTATTACAATTACTTATAGTTATTCAACAGAGACATCTTACATCTATATCAATTCACTTGTATCAGTATAGTACTGTATAGGCTGAAATGTTTGTAGTCTAACACACAGATGGCGCTACTAGCGCTACATGTATGTGTACTATTATGTACTGTCTGTATGAATTTTGTGGATGAAAAAAGGATTTCAAGTTTCAGGAATAGCTGTCAGAGATCAAACCATTGCTAACATGCCACAAGGACACATACTTTATATAAACTTAAAATCGTCAGCGTTTCACTAACTATAATATATTTACCACAGTTTCAGCCAAATCAACCAAACAGTATTTTTCTAGCTTATTATTACAATTGTTTAACGTGTTTCATCAAATTGGCATCAGTTTTTCATTTATAAACAGATTGAAATAAATGAAACCGTAGGCAAATCTGTTCAGCCCTTTTGGAGTTTAGCACACGCAAAGAATCACTGGAGAAACTTGTTTCATGAAACTGGTTTCGTGAAATATGAAACTGAAGTTGCTTGCAACAGATAGATAACATTGTCACTGGTTGGTGAACACAGTGTTTGATGAAACTTCAGTTTCATTAATTTCGAAAAATCGGTTTCAAGAAATTCGGTAAATCGATTTTTTGTTGCTTCAGTTTCACGTTTGATTACCGTCAAATGATGGGGGCTGAGATGGCGGTAAATTCAACTCCCCCCTATCCACCCCTATGACTGTTTCTTCTAAGACCTCCAACATCAATGGTTGTGAAATAACCATCGGCGTCAGCACATGCCATAAGTTGAACAGAGTTATAACCTCTGAAATTAAAATTGATTGAGCCAGAGTTTTTAAATTTTCTTATCTCAACATGCTTTTCATCCATAGAACCGAAGCAGTTGGGCAGACTACAAAGCTATGTGCGGTATACTTCCACATATTTTTAACAGAAACTGGCATTTACAGTGGTTGCAAACACTTCCAAATTGTACTAGTTATTTCAGCTACAACCAAATCAATAGTTTGGTGAACTCCCATGAAATATTGAGCCAAACACTTGAACGAAATGCCAGTAGCCAGATATTTGAAAAGTTGATTTTCAATTAACTCAATTTCTGTTTTCGTAATCTACCTGGGAACATTCCATCTCCAACTTCTCAATCATCAACTGCTTCCATTTACTATTCAATTTCTGAAGACTTTCTTTCAATGAAACAGGTATAATAATTTTCCTCTTTTTATATTGATTTTCCATCACTTTAAATGACCATGAATCGATACTTTCGCACAGGCACCGCTCTTAGAGCGCCTTAAGGATTTTCCTGTATTCTATCCTGAAAAAAATACTTCATCAACATAGATCATATTGTTTCAAATATTTCAAAGTAATAAAACTGTTTCCACTCAACTCAGTGTAATCGTTGGTTTTTCTTCAGCACTCAGAGTTAACCTCCAGTTAGTGTTCTTCTTTGTTATTAGTGGATTCACTAATTCTGACAGGCGATCAAAAAGTGCCTTCGACATCCTGAAAAATCCTTGAATTTATCAGGATCTCTGCTTAGTTCGTGAACTAAAGCAAAACAGCTGTGCTGCCGATAGTGCGGATCCCTGCTCAACGGGAGAACCCAGTACTTGCGTTTTATTCTTAATTCTTAGCCACCACCTTTTTTAAGGACAAAACCCAATTACTACAGGAAAATCCTTAATGCGCTCATAGAGCGGTGCCTGTGCGAAAGTAGTGATTCACATTGGATTTGAATCGCTGGAGAATAAATCCATTTGGTAAAACGTTTTCAGAAAGTTGATTCCACATAAACGCAGTTCTACAGATGGAAGTTCCTAAACAGTGAAGTTCGAGGTGTACTGGGTTGAACCTCAAAACGATGAGCAGCCGCAGTCCATCGCGTACTTTTAATATGCACCGCTCTTGGTGGAATCAAATGTGCCAAGTCACTTGAACACTTCTCGTGAAAGTATCATTAGAAGAGAGAAACATCTCCAACTTTTCTTAGATGTTCCAGACTATCAAGGTTGCAAGTGATGAAATCTAGCAGCTTCAGGGTATGTTTAGGTGCGGAGCTCCTTACATGAGAACAATACTCAAAAGAAGGTCTGATCTGAGCTTTATAAAGCATCAAAATTTGCTGAGGTGTGTACAGTTTTCTGGTTCTGAACAGTGTTCCAAGCTTTTGAGAAGCAGCCTTTACGATTCCAGTGACATGATTGTGCCAAGACATATTGGTGTCTATTTTAACTTTTAACAAACTTATCGAAGCAGAAAGTGGAATTTTCAGACTTTCATTATTATATCCAATTCGGAGACATTTATCTATTTAGAGAAAACCGATGCCTGAATTGAATTGAACCTTGTTACTTTCACCCCAACTCTAGATCCTCATCTGCATGTATGTGCATCCGCAGCCAAGGTCCTGGAATCCAAATGTAATGACGATACAGGTGTGCTGTCGCCAGCAAAGCAATATACTTATTGGATTCTTGTTTTTTTTTTCAATAAGTCGCAGATATACAATAAAAAGAGGGTTAGAGACAATATGGATCCCTGGGGAACACCAGCGTTGATGGCCACTTGCAGGGAACGTTTTTCCAGGAAGCTGAAGAGCCATGCACAAAAATGATCCGACAATCCATGGCATCGAAGTTTAGCCAGCAAACCTTCATGTCACACACGGTCAAAGGCCTTAGAAATATCAAGCGCAACTTAGCACTCAACTTAGCAGCTTAGCTTAGCGCTCTTAACTCTACATGATTCTCAATTGCGTTATTCTAAATATGGGTGACATACGACAGAAGGTCGCCTATTGATCTTTATGTCTGAAAGCCATATTGATGATCGCTCAAGATATTGAAGCTTTCCAAATATTTGAGGATATGGTGGTTTAAGGCTTTCTCTATGAGTTTTGATATCACTGATAGCAAAGCGACTGGTCTATAGTTATTTGGAAGAGTTGTCTTGCCCTTTTTCGGAATAGGCTGAATGCAAGCAATCTTCCAACAAGAACGAAAAACCCATTTCTTGTAAGACAGGTTGAAAAGTCTGCAAAATAGTAGCGCTAGTTCATTCGCGCACTTTTCAAGTATGATAATGGGCACTTCATCGGGACCAGACACCTTGTTGATATTGAGCTGTTTCAAAATTCGCCTGACTAGACGCTGTCGAAAAGTAATTTCTGGCATTGTGGATCCTAGTGTGGGAATATTGAGCGGTGCCTTTCTCAGAAAATCGACTGTGGAGTGTGACGCAAATTGTTCAGCTAGTAGATTTGCTTTTTCTATAGCTGTTGTTGCAATCGAACCATCCGCCTGTGTTAGTGGTGGAATTGTGGATTTTGTAAAGTTCTGATTAACTGCTTCAGCTACCGACCAGAAGGATCTAGTCCAGTTGGGACTGACAAGCAGTTTATTCCTAATTCTCTGATTGTGAAGTTCTTAGCTTCCATTTATCCTAAGTTTGCAACTGATGGGAGCATTAACAAACCTAGTTCGGTTTTCGGCACTGGGGTTTTTGCGCCACTGCCGATAGGCGAGATTTTTGGAGGCGACTGCTTGCTCGAAATCCATCGCGAAACTAATGGAAAAACCGTTGCTTATGTGTGCACGTTCCACTGAAACGGTTTTTTTGAAACATCACAGTGTGTGAAACCAGTTTCATCAAACACCTTTCTCCAGTGTTCACCGCGCCTTAGTTGGGTAACAGGATCATTTTTTCTTAACAACAGGCATATTTTGACATGAAAGTTGTGGATTTAATTGCTTTAGTAAAGACCCCCCATTAATATATGAAATATCTTCCATGTACAGACAGCGATCCACTAAACGTTTACTATATGAATAGATTTCCAGAAATTTAATGTAATTTTTTTCTGTTTCAGCGATTTGGCTAGTCGAAATTGCCAGCTCACCTCCAATTTGACGTTGAAACTTGGCGACTATGGACTTGGTGTTTTCAAATACCCGAACGACTACTATCAAAGTTCTCCGGGAGTGTCTGTCAGATGGTGTGCACCAGAAGCACTCACCTACACCCAAACGACGATCCAACCCAAGCCAGTTTCACCCGAAAGTAACGTTTGGTCTTTGGGAGTGACGATGTGGGAAATTTGCGAGTGCGGAGAACAACCTTATTCGTCGTTGAGTGATGATGAGGTGATTTCGCAAGTATTGGGACCTGCTAACCTCAGGCTATCCAGGCCTAGCTTTTCTGTGCTCTATACGGATTACATGTGAGTAGAAAATATCAGCTTTTTTTCAGTTATTCATAGCTATTTTTGTTTGAAAGGTTGTTGTGACATATATTCAACTCAAAATATAAACGTAGAAAATGCTTATTTCCCGTGAAAATTCGATATATTTCACTTCTTTTGCGTGTATAACTCAGTAGTAAAACAACTATTTTCCTGGCTACTAGTACAACGGACATTGGATTATATTTGACAGAAGGTTCCCATTGTTGTGGCTGAAGTCAATTGGGTGAGAAAATCAGTAGGGCATACTAGACGGCCATTATAGATTAATACACAGACAACTAGATTGATTTAATGGTGCCATACGAGGTCTATTAAAAAAATAAGGTGAATATACTTGCATTCGATTAGCGTTTTGGCTTTGTACAAAATAGAATCAAGTGCCCAGCCAGTGTTATACGATGTAACTTGTTTCAGAAAACTTCACTTCCAAACTGGAAGAAAAAGCCTTTCCGAAAGAGCTACTTTTCATATAAACATTGAATTACACGAAAGAATAGTTCTTTCCAAACAAATACTTTTACATGAATACTGAATTATACAAAAACATGTTTCTTTACTCAATTTGTATTCCAGACATTCATTATGGAATTAAGTCATATATCAGTCACAGGATTTATAGAAATCCTGTGAATGATATCTGATTCAATTCCGTAGCGAATGTTTGGAATACAAACCGAGTAGAGAGAAGTGTCTTTTGTATAATTCAGTGTTCATGTAAAAGTATTTGTTTCGAAAGAATTTTTTTCTTTCGTGTAATTCAATGTTTATATGAAAGTAGCTGTTTCAGGAGGACTTTCTTTCAGTTTGTGTCTAAAAGTTACTTCTTTGCGTGATCTACACATCTATGTATGGATTTAATTTTTTTGTCACTCCCAAAAATATAACCATTTCAATTTAAAGAAATAAGATATTTTACTATAAACACATAAAATATCTTGAAAGAATAATAATAATAAGTGCAGCCAAATAGGAAATTGCTTTCAGAAAATACACGTTGAAAACGAATTCAAGTGTAATACTATGAAATTAAACTTATTAGATATTTTTTCAATTGATATTTAAATTTTGTAATGAAATAGTACCTTTTTATTTTCTCTGGAATTGAATTATGTATAATGATCCCATCGTGATATATCGACTTCCTTCCAAAAGTTGTTTTTATTTTAATTTTTGACAGTAATTTGGTTTATCTTGCGGCATGATTATAAAAATTCATCTCCAATTCGAATAAAATTAAAGTTTGATTTCTTTGTATTATTTTTAGCAGAATGAATGAAACAGCTGATTTTCAGTTTATAGAGTGAATTTGAGTCCAATAAATAGTTTGATTTATATAAGTTCAATGTTGGTTCCAAATATGGTAATTTATAAATGCTTCTAATTATTTTGTTTTGTAAGGTTTATAGAGGTTTCATTGTAGATTTACTTGCTGTTCCTCAAACAGAAATAAGATAGTGCCAATGTGAATAAATGAGAGATGAGATTAAAATGTATATTTTTGAGGAAATGTATAGGTATAAAGTTTCTAACTTGCAAACATTCCAATGGGAGGAGGCTATTTCTTTCTAATATTTCCAATGTGTTTGTTCCATGACAATTTCTCATCAACTTACGAGGGTGATCTGAAAAGTTTCCGACCTCAACATGAAGATGGCAGCACTCGTAAATAAAAGCTAGTAAATTATGTTGTTCTTCTGTTGACAGTTACTCACAGAAGTTTCGGCAATTTTGGACATGCAGTCGTTAAGTAACAGTCGTTTGAGTGAGTTGATGTGAGTGTTCTTATAAAAATGGACAAAGTCAAGTATCGAGCTGTCGTTAAACATTTGGTTTTGAAAGGCAATACGCCTACGTGAACCAAAGATGAGTTAGATTCTGGTTATGGAGACTCAGCACCATCATTTACCACAGTGAACTTTTCGGCAGCTGAATTTAAACATGCCCGTAAAAGCTTGGGAGACGATGAACGTTTGCGATATCCAAAAAGGGCAAACTACTTACAAAAACATCGCCAAAGTTCACCGAATGGTGCTAGACGACTGCCAAATTAAAGTGAGAGAGATAGCAGAGGTTATGAACATGTCAAAAAAAAGTGTTTGTCACATATTGAATCAACAGTCGGGCATGAGAAAGCTGTCCGCGCTCTGGGTGCCGCGTTTGCTCACGTTAGACCAAAAACATGTACGAATCAACATTTCCAACGCCCTGTTGGCGCAGTAACATTAATCGAATTATTTGAAGTATTAATTAGTCTCGGGGAAATATTCATATATGATCATTTAATGAAGTTGAGCCTCAATTTATGTTCATTAGGCCAAATGAGTTGAGATGAGGACGATGAAGAATAAGGAGGGGATGATTCATAACAATTATAAAGACGTTATAATTTTCAGAATTTATTAGTTTTTTCATATTGTATTTCAATTAATCATTTCCAAGACAATTATTCATAAATATATTTGTTACTCTTGTTTTGCTTCTTAATTACAAAATTATTCCCATTTGATATACTGAGCTCATCAAATGCTCTATTGAAGTCCAGCGATATCGAAATTGTATCTATCAGTTGCTTGAATTATATCATCAGTAATATTGAAAAGGGCTGTTTTACAGCTGAAACCTTTCGTATTGAAGGCATAAGCAAATTTTTCTCTAAATAATTTGTTAGTTTTAGGCCCTTTCTAATATTTTGGAGAATGTTGAAAGAATATTCATCCCTGTGATATCTATCAAGTTCCGATAGATTGATAAAAGCGAGATAATTAAATGTTGGAAAGTTTTATATTTCTAATTCTTAGGAACATTCAATCTGAGGGCAGCAATCTGGATGAGGTTTAGACAAATCTCCATCGACAATTTTGCAAGGTGGCTCTGCATGTTGGCTCCCACACCTAAAAATTTAGAAATAAGTAATCATATTTCACAAGCAAAAAAGTAAGATTAAAAAATGTAAGAAATAACTGGCGTGAACGGACTTTTCGAAAAGTCAAGAACGATTGAAAAATATCAGAGTGTATAATTTTACCACCGGAGATAACTGTGTCAGAGCTATTTTTGGGTTGGTTGGTCATGGTCTGCAGGTCTTTGTGCCTGAAGTTTCGTCTACGACTGCGGTAGATATTATCAATGGCGACGAGGCAATGAACAAAGTGCTTATATATCCTCACATCATATACTACATTAATGGTTTCGGTCTCTGGACTTTGTCAATTTCAATTATATCCTCCTTTCTGTTGGAATTGTTTTAACGTTTTCGAATTTTCATCACCTCCCTTAATAGTCTCAGTAGCTCTAAGTGCATGTTCTGGTAATGCTGATTGATAGATAGATAGATTGATTTATTAAAGCTTTCAGTTTAAACAATTGATAAAACTCAAGTCATAAAAATAATTACATCAACAATACAAATGTCACTTAATATTAATATAAATAAAATCTGGTGGTATAGGTAAATACAATAAGTATATGAAAATGACAGGAACAAATAAGTAAATATCACAGATAAAGATTGATGAGTAGTAAGTAAGCATTATGTGATATTGACCATTGGTGAACCCAGTAATAATATCGCTCGTTTTTTAAAAAACATAGATTTGGACGTATCATACAGAACAACTAATAATTTGAGCAAAATCCACTGTAGGATAATGGGGAGTATATACAAGGGCGATCCGATAAGTTTCCGACCTAAGAAAGATACGGGACATTTTTTCCAGATTTTTTTTTCAAAATAGTCTCCTTTTAACTCTACACACTTCTCCCAGCGATGCTACCATCTTTCCAACCCGTCCAAATAGTACTTGGCGTTTTTCTCTGCAAAATAATTGTTCACGAAGGTGACTACCTCTTCATTTGACGAAAATCTCTGTCCTTCAAGCGCAATTTTTAAGATTACGAACAAAAAGAAGTCGATTGGGGCAAGATCTGGTGAGTAAGGCGAATGGTCAAGCAATTCAAACCGTAATTCGTTGATTTTCGCCATGGCAACCGCTTGGGTGTGGGACGGTGTGTTGTCTTGATGAAACAGGATTTTCTTTTTCTGCAAATGTGGCCGTTTTTCGCAAGTTCTACCTTCAGCTTGTCAAATAATGATGCGTAGTATGCTCCTGGTATGGTCTTTCCTTTTTGAAGATAATCGATTAAAATAACTCCATAACTTTCCTAAAAAACAGTCGCCATCACTTTTCCAACTGAAAAAACAGTTTTTGCCTTTTTTTTGGAGCTGGTTTCCCTATTGCAGTTCACTTTTTGGATTGTTCATCATCAACAATGTCACATGATTCATCAAATGATATGGCGTAGCAAAGTGCCTTTTACAGGAGTTGAAGAAGAGTGTTTTTAATATCCGCAGCATAAATTTCCGTTTTTCGTGCATTACTTCTCGCTGATAATGAAATACTTTGAAATGGAGCGACAACTTTTTTCTTCAAAAAGTGCCGTGACTACTTCTAACATACATTTTTTTCACCATCTCAGAATCTGAAAATGGTTGCTGCTTCTGTGAATTTTTCTTGCTCGCTTATGCAACGAACCAGTAATTTTGTGCTTTTTTTTTGTGAGAATTGAGATTGAAGTTTTTCTTTATTAGCCTTACTGCCAAGAGGAAAGTTTTTGTGAAATTGCTGATGAGTTGTTTCATAGTGTCGCTTCAAATTTCCACTCTCAACAATAGCGACAGTTTTATTGCATATAAGGCACACTGAAACCGCTTGAGGCCTATTAACCAGCGTAAAACAATATTGTTCAGTCTATTCTGCCAGAAACCTCCTATTTTCACTGTCCACTTCACGCTTAGGCATAGGCATATTAGCATAGGTACGAAAATATTATGAAAACGCGAAAAATCACATATGAATGGTTGCTCCGCTGTTTGCGCTACGACTGACAGTCTGCTTCCCCCGCCCACACGCCCGCACTCCTGATTTTGATGCTCGCGCTTGTTTCAGCAATACAAAATAGTGGCAAACGCGAAGAAACACACATACACACAGGGTAGATAGGAAACTAATAGGTTTCTTCTGGTTCTAACATCCGAAACTGTTTGAAAACAGCGCAAGACATGATACGTACAAGCAAAAAATCTCAAACAGTCCGAAATAGTCTCGGACACTTGTTTAAACCAGAACGCTTTTGAGGAGACCACTGTACCACATATCGTATATATGAAGAGATGAAGACGGGAAAATACTATTGATCATGTCCATTTTGTAATGTAGCGTATCCTTATAGTCAGTTCAAATGTTATCTAACCTGAATCATCAAATATTCAAATCAAACAAATAAAAAAACATCCTAGCAAATAGCCCAAACAAATTTCCACATGAATGCACATGAGCAACGGGAACAGTTCTCAACAGTTCAGCCTCGAGAGCAAGAACGATTCGGGACGGTTCAAAACAGTTTAGGATCATTTCGCAGTCGAAACCAGAACAGAGGATTCATCAGTCTGAAATTATCCTCAATAAACCAGCTCTATATCAACTGCGCATGATCCTGGCGTCCTAGAAACTGAATTTCGTAGAACCAGAACAAACCTAATAAAACCATATCAGTTGTAGGTAATTGTAAAACAGGTTGACTAGGCAACTTGAAATAAAATAAGTACATACTTAGTTGAATTCTATGTGGTTTAAAAATATTACTTGAATTAATAAAGGTATAGTATACCTTATCTACTTATTAATTTTTATACTTGGTATATAACACATTACAATATTTGACGGTCCGATGTTCGACTTTTCGCGGTCCACAAACGGTCCGCGGTCCGCCTGTTGCCAATCGTTGCACTATAATATCAATAATTTAGATATTTTCAAAGAAAACACTGTAATATTCCTGGAGTTGAAGTTTCGAACCTGTTGTAAATTAGAAAAACAACATCTTACCCTACTAATCTAATGTTCCTATTGTTCAAACACTTTGCTAATACGCATTCATTCGCCAATGTTTTTTGTTCTCCTTTATCCATTGTTCCTATTTCGTTTTTGTCGCTGAAGCAGTGACTAGACTGATCTGAAACAACAAGAGTGATCAAGCCACTACTTCCCGGTACTGTCGGCGATACAGTGGCAGTGGACGGCTGCTCACCGGTATTTTACCGGCGACGATCACCGGTCGGCGTGTGTGCCATGTCCCGTTTCCACATGTGGTTCACTATTGGAAATTGAACGACCGGTACAAAGTCGGCCGTCCAAAATCGGTGTGTGTGTGTGCAACTAGCGTAATAAAACCATATCAGTTGTAGGTAATTGTAAAACAGGTTGACTAGGCAACTTGAAATGAAATAAGTACATACTTAGTTGAATTTTATGTGGCTTAAAAATATTACTTGAATTAATAAAGGTATAGTATACCTTATCTACGTATTAATTTTTATACACATTACAATATTTGGCGGTCTGATGTTCGACTTTTCGCGGTCCACAAACTGTCCGCGGTCCGCCTGTTGCCGATCGTTGCACTAGAATATCAATAATTCAGATAATTTTCAAAGAAAACATTGTAATATTCCTGGAGTTGATGTTTCGAACCTGTTGTAAATTAGAAAAACAACATCTTACCCTACTAATCTAATGTTCCTATTGTTCAAACACTTTGCTAATACGCATTCATTCGCCAATGTTTTTTGTTCTCCTTTATCCATTGTTCCTATTTCGTTTTTGTCGCTGAAGCAGTGACTAGACTGATCTGAAAAAACAAGAGTGATCAATATTTTTGAAGAGAGGGAACTCTCCCTTCAAATTTTAAATATGTCTGTACACTGTTTTCGCCTCATACCTCAATATCTTGAAGTATCAGAAAATACCAGTTTATGAAAATGACTGAATTGAGTGAATATACAAACCTGCGGTGCCACGTGTTCAACTACTGAAACAGTTTCAGTCAACGATTTGATTTATATTTGTAAAAAAATCTTTTTGGCTTTCTTCTTCTCCATCAATGAACAAAAAATGTAGAAAACCTCAAGAGAAAGAAAGAAAGAAAGAATAACTAAGATGTGTAGATCATGCACATAAATATGAATATGTTTATGTACTGTCATTCGTAATTTCATGAAAGAAGTGAGTCCTGTAATGTTATGAAAAACCATACTGATGAGGTGATGAGACAGTGTCGTATCACGAAACTTCGAAGTACACCATTGAGGATGTTAGTGTTCCGCATAAGTGAAATTGTATATCAATACTTATTCATATAGTACTTTGTGTAGTGTTCCTATGAATGATATCTGTTTCAATTCCATAACGAATGTTTGGAGTACAAACTGAATGGGAAGAAGTGAATTTCGTGTTACTCAATGTTTATATGAAAATAGTTTGTGTCTGAAAAAAACTTCTATGCATGATCTACACATCGTGGTAAAGAGTTTGTAGTCATGTTTTCTTCCTTTCTTTTAATGACTCCCACATCTTTTCTTCAATGATGGAGAAATAGATAGCCAAAACTCTTTTTTTTTCACAACCTGTCTCTTGAATACCTATTACTGGAGTTTTTTCCAACACCAAATCGTTATTTTTAACACCTCGACACGTGTTTCGATCACCAAGTGATCATCTTCAAGAGGTGTTAAAAATAACGATTTGGTGTTGGGAAAAAACTCTAGTAATATACATTACTACACCAAAGGTTCCAAACAGTGCATCATAAGAACTTGTCTCTCCTAAAACTATCCCGTATTCAGTTCAAATGATTTGATTTATTTATTATTGCAATTGACTTAGAATCGCAGTTTTAAATACTTGATAATAGCAACACTGTTAAGTTTAATTCAAGATGACCTTGATCTAAATAGCGGTATTGTTAATAATAATGATATCTCAGAATCAGCAATTGTCATTATTGGATGTTGCTGACTCGTCATGCGAATGGACTGTATTGGGGCTAGGGAGGGTTTCAAAAAGAACAATAATAGGCCTTTATACTCACATTTGTTCTATAAATGTGTTTTTAAAAAAGATTATCATATCTGTATATGTCAGTTTACATATGTGTATATAAGTATTTATACAAATTCCAATTTTAATCATTTAATTTTGAATATATTTTCGAATGTATACATATTATTACCATTCTTTTATTCTTTTTTGACTTGTTATATTTACGCTACGTATCGCCAATATTATTATTATTACATGGTTCACTGAATAATATTTTTTTAAAACTACCAATGATCATGAAGAGCTGCAAAAAGTAGATTAAACAACTAATATTTGAATGTCTGTGACTAAGGTTTCTTATGACAATACTAATACTTTCCTTGAGTTTGACATTCAAATTATTGAACATAGATGTCGCATACTCTCTGGTTTTCCCATATGCTTAAATTTAGAGAAAATTCACTGAAAACTACAATTTTAGAAGAGCATTTATTTTGATACGGCATGTCATACATAAAATTTAAAGTGGGAGGGAATTTACTTCAGTTTCTGTGAGAGCCGGTTACACATTTTCGCGGTAATCAACATTTTTCACTGCCTCCACTAGTACATATAAAAAAATGGCAATAAGCTAATACACAGCACTTTTTTCCGGAGACTTCGAGTAAATGTACGTTTAAATTTGAAAAATTAAATATGAATTCATTTTTTTCATATATTTCCTTCTGCTATTGAACTGTTTCAAGTGTTCAATTTTTCTTGGGCTTACTTGGCATCCACACTTTAATTAACTCTACACATAAGTCGTAATAATATTGGGACCTGGTATAAATTGTCACCTGAGTGGTTGATATAAGAAATTATGTTTTCATTTCAGTGTATTTTTATTATATGAATGTACTCACGTGTTGACGGATCATACAGAATAGTGGCTTCCCAAGCAAAAGAAGAAGCATAAAACGCACTAACAATGATAAAAAATTGCGCGACTTTCATGTTGCAGCGTTTGTTTGAATATATTCGATGATTATGTTCATTTGAACCGCCTACAGTTCTATTTATATTTGAAATGAAGATATTCATAAGCTCTCTGAACTCATTGGCAATTTTAATTATTGAGTCACCAACAAGAATCAATTATGGTAAATTATCATAAATAAACCATACTATGCTATTTGTCGAGTTTAAAAACAGACCTCGAGAAAAGAACATATGTTTGATGAAAGAATTATCAAAATTCAAAATGATGAGTCAACGCTGTTTTGTGTAAGGTAATAATAATAATATGCTTTATTGTCCAAAGAACATTAGGTCTCATTGACAAATCTACAAATTTTTATCAGTCATCATACAATGAAAAGTAATAACAAAAAAGTTTAAAATGTTTAAATGCAGTATACCATGTCTATTTAATAAAAATACAGTTGACAAAATAAATTAGAGAAAGCTGTCCTCATAGAACTCTTCTAAACTATAATAGGGTGTACCCTATAATAAATCTTTTACTGATTTTCGAAATACACAGTTATCCTCTAAAATTTTAATACGGTCAGGAAAATGATTAAACATCTTGAGACCATTATAATATATAGAGTCTTTGACTAGAGTAAAGGCTGGTATGGGTAATCTTAGGTCGTTAGTTTGACGAAGGGCATAATAATTGGAGTAACCAGATCCCACATCTCTGCTTCGATTCTGATTGTTTTGTGGATA